AGAACCTGGGGGTCGACTACTGCCTCGACGGCCAGGCGCTCGTGGTCCTCGAGAAGCGGCATACGAAGGCGGCATCCCAGTTGCAGAGGTTGCACGCCATCCGCTCGCAGGAGACCCCAGCAGCAGCTCGAGTGGCGAACACTGGTCTGCGGCCTGCTACTCGCTATGGGCTGAGTGTGGTGGGTTGGCCGACGTCGCAGCTCAACAAGTGGAGGAGCCAGGTCAACGCCGTCCACCATGGGCACGGCCCAGGCAAGAGCCTCAGCCTCAGTTTCCTCCTCAGCAAGCGTCTGCACTGCGACCCGCTGCACGACCACGCGGCGCTGCCCATTGTCGCATGGGCCAAGGCGGTGCAGTTCAACTCGGACAGCAGGGACCTGAGGGCCCGGGGCAGCGCTTTCGCAGGGGCTAGGACGTTGCTGGCCAGAGGCGGGCCTGAGGCGTTGGCTGGACGCGGGCCAGCTGCTGCGTGCGTGTTAGCCTGCCACCGCCTGGGCTGGACCGCCACACTGCCAGGGCTGCTCACCAACGACAAGCAGCAGCCGCTGGACCTACGGACCCTGGGGGCCTCCACGCTCGCCAAGCACATCGCCGATGGCCACGAGAGGGCGCTGTGGCGAGCAGCGAGCAAGCACCCAGGACTGGAGCACCTGCGCGATGGAGGCGCCCTGTCCAGTATCAGGCGCACACTGGCACGCAAGCGCATGAGCAAGCAGAAGGCCAAGCAGATGAGCTCGGCCAAGAACGCGCTGGTCGGATGTCTCTGGCCCGTGGCGCGGCGGTTCTTTGAGGAACGCCCATTGGCCTCCTCTCCTTGGTGCCCCAGGGGATGCCCTGCGCACGGCACAGTGCGGCACCTGGCGTGGCAGTGCCCAGCCACCGAGGTCAGCCGCGGCGAGTGGATCTCCAACGAGGAGGCGGACGAGCGGTGCCCCCCTGGCGACATCCCCTTTCGCACCATCGTCGGTATGGCCAGCATCGAGGGAGACGAGGACCCGCTCTGGTCCCGCGCTCTTGCACCCGAGCACCGAAGGACCCTGCCACCGCCCACCGACGCCAGGGAGGCGCGGAAGGAGGGTCATGCCGACTTGGTGGGGCAGCCGCTCTCGGGCGACCTCTTCACGGACGGGAGCGTTCTGGACCCCAGCCTCGTCTCGGCGCGCGGCGGCTGGGCGGTCGTCGTCATGGGACCCGACAGCGAGGCAGTCAGCCTCTTCGGCCCGCTCCCCTGGCCGTATCCCCAAGAATCAGGGGCAGCGGAGCTGGTGGCGGCCATCGAGGGCATCCAGAGCTGCTTACCACCTGTGCGGATCTTCACTGACTGCAAGCTGCTCGTGGACGGCTTCGCGGCGGGCAGGGCGTGGTGCCTGCAGTGGCAGCGGCCTTACCGCGAGCTTTGGGTGCGGTTCTGGGCGGCCCTCGACGACGTGGGGGTCGGCAGCGTCACCATCCACAAGGTGAAAGCGCACGCCACGCTGGCGGACGTGCAGGCGGAGCGCGTCACGGCCTGGCAGCGGCGGGGCAATCACTGCGCCGATGCCCGCGCCGTGCAGGGCGCGCAGATGCATCCCAGCGACGACGACGTGCGAGATAGGAGCCGCAGGCAGGATCGCCTCGTCAAGAAGGTCTTCTGCTGGCTGGGTTCGGCGATGCAGGACGGCGACGCCGAGCTCACGGCAGCGGACGGGCACGAGGGCCCAGGCTTGGAAGCAGTTCGGTGCGATTGGCGCGGCTGCAAGATGCGATGGCGAGCTCACTGCAGTTCCCCTGACTGCCCGCAGCGCACGTGCGGGCGGCACGGGACGTGGCTGGACGTCGACGGCGACACGGTCTGGGCCTGCCAGCAGTGCGCGGGCAGGGGCGACGCGCTCGCGGGCTCCTGGGCCTCAGGGGCCGAGAGCAGTGGCGGATCGGTCGCTGCAGCCGCGGCGCTCATCACGGCGGGCGCGGCGCTGCTGTCCCACAGTCAGGTCAGCGAGGCACCAGCACAGGTGGAAGGAGACGAGGCGAGCGCAGGGCAAGTCGGCAGCGGCGCGCCTGGCGGCGGCCAGCGGGGTAGCCCACCGACGTCGGGGGGTCCTTCTGGGGCCGGTGGCGGGACCCCGCCGCTGCCGCCGCCGCAGCTCCCGCCGTGGTGGGGATTCGACGCCCACGGCTCCCACGACCTGTGGCGGGCTGGTAACCACCTCTTCTGCGTGAAGTGCGGCTACTGGACGCAGAGCCGCAGGATGGCGGGCTTGGCAGCGGAGTGCCCGAAGGCCCCCAAGAACGATAGGCAGAAGGCGGTGCTCAGCAGGCTGAAGCGCGGCCTGCAGCTCGCTGGGGCGGGCGGCATCGGTGACCCTGAGCCGCTGCGGCGCATGCGCAGGCGCGTCGATGGTGGCTAGGCTCTTTCTTGCCACGCTAGCCGCCTCGCTCTGTCTGCCATCACGCGAACAGACGTGTGGTTTGCACACGGCTGTTCGGGCTGCCTCTGCAAGGCAATCAAACCCTACTTTGGTGCCTCTGGTCGCGTGAGGGTGTTGCCTTGCGGGGGGAGTCGCTGCTGCGAGGCGCGTTCCGCGCCGCTCTCCATGCCTTGCATGCTCGCGGCAACGGTACGTCCCTTGGACGCGGCGATGCTGCAGGCTAGGCAGCTTTGCTCGGCGCTCGTCTCCCGCTCTTGAGCTAGCACGTGCCGTTGCACGGCTCTCGCTCGAGCGGAAGTTGGGCCAGGTGCGCAGGTATCCACGCACTGGAGCGCTCCGTTTAATGTAGTGGCTGGCGCGCTTGCCGCGACGGCCAGCGCTTCTTGCGCCCCAGCGTGCTCTGCTCTGTGCCGCCAGTCGGAGGCTGGACCGTGGTGGTAGGTTCGCACACCGCCATGGTTGCCTCCGAAGGCCACCGCATTGCAAACCCTCCCTGTCCTCGGCCATGTGCCAGCGGGAGGTTTGCGGTGCTGTGGCACCTCGAGCCAGCATGCTGAGTTGCCGTGAATGCTCGATGCCCTGCCTTCCGCCTGCCTCGGCCGAGGCGGATGGCGTGGCCTCTAGTCTTCAGGCGAGGCTGCGAGTGTGCCTTGGGCACGGGCCAGGCCTTGCGTCCGCAGCGCCAGAGGGAAAGGCCATGGCTTCGGGAGGCTGTATCGAGCGGGGAGCTCCAGACCTTCTTGGATGCGTGGATCATCATCATCATCAGCAGCATCATCAGCATCATCAGCATCATCATTGTCATCGTTGTCGTCTAAGTAATCGTCATCTGCATGGGCATCGCCGACATCATAATTATCAGCATCATAAGCATAGCCTTAGTTATACAAGTCGTCATCATCAGGGTCATCACAATAGTCATCGTCATCATGATTACCATCACTACTACCAAAAACCTAATCAGCATCACCATCAGCACCAACACCATAACTATCACCATCACCATCGCCACCAACACCACCATCATCATCATCATCATCATCATCATCATCATCATCATCATCATCAGCATCGTCGTCATCATCATCATCGCCATCGTGATCGTCGTCATCACAATCAACAGCATCACAATCATCATCAGCATCATCACCACTATCATCATAAGCATCATCATCGGCATCGGCATCGCCATCATCATCGTCAGCATCACCATTATCAAAATTAGCAACCGAAGTATCATCATCATTAGCATCAGCATCAACGTCATCACCACGACAAAGAACATCATCGTCATCATCACTACTATCGTCATCATCACCACCCCAACCGCCACCACCACCACCACCATCATCATCATCATCATCGTCATCATCATCATCATCATCATCATCATCATCATCATCATCATCATGATCATCATCATCACCATCATCATCATCATCATCATCTTCATCATCATCACCATCAGCATCACCATCACCATCACCGTCACCATCATCACTATCATAATCTACATCGCCATCGCAATCGTCATCGCGATGGTCATCGTCACACTCATCAGGAGGAGGAGGAGGAGGAGGAGGAGGAGGACCAGCGTAAACCCAAGACTCGCGAACGATGTTGCAATAGACCCCCCCTCCAAGTTCCCACTCCATAGGCTCCTATAGGAACATTGCTTCACTGCTGGAGGAGTCCCATTTGAAGACAATCGTTCGAAAAGGTTCAGCCGTGCCATCCTCCTCCATGCTTGAGACTCTCGCAACACTTTTGAGACGAATGCGCGCGGAGCTAAGGTGAAAACCACATGTTGACAACGGCCCGCCCCCCGTCCGCGACACTCGTGCAAGCTCTGGAGACGAATCTGCGCCGTGCTCGGGCGGGAGCCGCCTTCTGAAATCGGCCCGTCCCCAATCCGTGAAGCTCTTGCACACTTTTGAGACGAATGTGCGCGGCGCTGAGGCGAGAGCCACTTTGTGAAAACGACCCGCCCTCTGTCCGTGAAGCGGTGGCAAATTTCAAGCTGCACGATCAGAAATGGTGAGGACGTCACAGGGCGAAACACCGAGCCCGCTCTACCAACCTGCCCCAGGGTGCGACAGGAAATAATTACTCATAAGGAAGAAGGATGGGGTAGGAGCCTCCGCGGTCGACGCGGGGCAAGAAGAGACGAACGCCACGCGGGCAATGGCGCAATGATCGCAGAGCCGAAGCTCCGCTACCAACTAGAAATTCAGGGCGCAGGATAAGAATGCGGCACGCTCCAGTATGCGGACATCGTAAAGCGAGCCCAACACGGGCACGGGAGAGCCGAAAGCTCCCAGGACCCCCGGGCCAAAAGGGCAGTGAAAAAAGGAAGACAGGGGAGAGGGAAAGCAAGCAGGAGGCACCGTTCGAGTGAGGCATGGAGGACGAGCGCAGCAGGAGGAGGAGGAGGAGGAGGAGGAGGAGGAGGAGCAGAGTGGAGGGAGGAGGAGGAGAAGGAGGAGGAGGAGGAGGTGAGGAGGAGGAGGAGGAGGAGGAGGAGGAGGGAGGAGGAAGGAGGAGGAAGAAGGAGGAGGAGCAGGCCGAGCCCCCCCCCCTCCGAGCCGGATCCTGCCCGGCGGCCCTCGGCGCCGCGGGCGCGCCGCGCAGGCCGAAGGCGCGGCGGGCGAGCTCGGCCCACAGCGTGTCGGCTCTGGCCGCGGCGAGGAGCGGGCCGCACCCGGCGGCGGCCTCGGCGGCGGGGGGGGGAGGAGCGAGGGGGGGGCTCCCTCCCCGCCTCGTGTTTTTGTGTCCTCCCTCCCCTCCCCCGTCGCCGCGGCCCTGCTCCCTCCTCCTCCCTCCCTGCCTCCCTCCCTCCATCCATCCCTTCTCCTGCCTCCCTTCCTCATCCTCCCTCCCTTCCTCCTCCTCCCGTCCCCTCCTCCTCCCTCCCTCCCTCCCGCCCTACCCCTGGAGGAGGAGGAGGAGGAAAAAGAGGAGGAGGGAGGAGGGAGGGTGGCGGGGAGAGTGGCGGGGGAAGGAGGAAGCAAACTGGCCCTGAGTGTGTGGTGGTTCGGGGCACACTCGCTTCAACAGCTTGGGGAAGGAATGCCAATGCCCGACAGCTGCTGGCAAGAAAGCGCTGGCCAGGCTCGCCAGAGGACTTCTCCCACCTCATCGGGATGCCTGGCCAGACGAGCCAGGGCCAAGTCCAGGGTGAGTTTTCCAGCCTCCTTTTCCAAGGCGCTGGCATCTGTACCAGACTCAGGCCCTCGCGTAGTCGCTCCCAGGCAAACTGGCCCTGGCGATGCTCCCGAGAGGGCGTCCTCCCTGCTGAGAGGCCAGCATGCCCCGGGCAGGACGCGGGGACGCTGGGTGTGAGCCCACCCAGGGAGGCGGAGGAGGGAGCGAAGGAGCGAGGGAAGAGGACAATGTCAATGGACGGATCTGAGTGCCCAGCTTCACATCTCGCTGCAACCAGCGGGCGGGGAAGCGCGGTAAGGGGGGGGAGTTTTTCCAGCAGTTTCTCTTCTCACGTTTTGAGGTCGCGGTACGGGGGGGGAGGGAGGGAGGGAGGGAGGAAAGGAGGGATGATGATGATGATGATGATGATGATGATGATGATGATGATGATGCAAGCCCGTGGAGACCAGGTCAAGCCTGGGCACGACATCACACTCAAGCCTGGGGGAACTTGCCACCACTCTTGGGGGGAAGACCACGAGCCAACCTGGACAAGACCTCCCTCCCAGCCTTCGTGGGGGGACGATCAGTCTTACAGGGTTTGGCCAGGCTTTGCACATTGCGCCCACTAGCATGGGCACCACAATGCTCGCAATACAGCACACCGCGGAGCACATTCAACCTATGATTGCCCGCGCACGAAGGAAACAAGGGGTGCGCGAGCGGATCAGAGGAAAGGTGAGCGGGCCCGAGACAGGGACCAGGGCAAAAGTCCTGGACACGGCCCTTCAATTTGAACCGACGCACACAGATCTGGCAGCGGAGAGCCGAACCCTTCAAGGTCGGCTCATGACCCGCAAACCTCATTCTCCTAAGTCGGACCTGGAAGGCTGGGATAGGAGGGGGCCGAGGGGGAGGACGGCCAAGCCGATCAGAAACACGGCGGGGGTTCTGCTCCACAATCTCCCGATGCACCGCCAGAAGGCGGTCAAGCGTGTGAGACGTGACACGATCAACAAACGCCGTCACATCAACTTGCTCGGGGGAGGGGGCCACACGTTCAGTGGCCCACCCCGCAAAGAAATCAGCACACCAATTCAGGAAAAACTCCTCCTCCCCAATGGCGAATTGGGCCCTCTGGTGGGTCGTCGAGTGGCTCCTGGCCCACAGGACGTCAACAGAACCACGACCTCGAGCGTCCAAGGCCGACCAGATCCGAACCCACAGATCGAGCATCGAGCTGCTAGAGACGATCTGAGCTCGTGGCTGCCTTAGCCCTCTCACCAAGGGCAAATAATCAGAGTAGCACAATACATCACCAACAGTATGACTCAGAACCATGATAAATGCATAAAGTTAAGCTCGGGGACTAGACTGCTCCAAGGTAGGAAGACCACCACACAGAATGGTATCCAGCTGCAACGAGAGACCATCTGGAACCCCAAGACTGACTATAGCCCAACCACACCGCCTCAACCTCTTATCTCTGGCGTGAACCCCTCCAGAGCCATCGATGCCCCACACGCCTCCAGGAACCCGACGCTGAGCCCCCAGGGTGCCCCAGGTCCAGGTACGAGCAGAGGGTGGAGGTAGGTGGCCACAGGATGCATCAAGGCAGGGTACCCCACGAATAAAGAAAGCACTATGAGGGTCAGCAGCAAGGGCATCATGAACCAAATGTTCACTATTCTCAATACTCGGATCAGTCAAGTACTGGTTACTCGGACATCCCCAACAACGGTGCAAAGGTGTTTCCCGAGCGTCACCACATCGGAAACAACGGCCTGAGGTCAAATATCCACAGTCCTGCAGACGAGACTCGGGCCAAGCACCTCCAACAGCAATCGTAATCAAAAGGGCGGCGCCCTTAAAGTCGCCGTCGTCGAGCAGCTCATTGTGCTTGGCACGAAGCACAGTGAGGTCAGCACCTGTCTCTAGGCCTTGCCCGCAGAAGTGCTGAGCGGCCTTGGCCCAGACAATGGACGAGCAAGACTCACGGACAGCCGAGGTAAGATGATATCTGAAATCTGCAGCGGTCAACCTAAGCGTGACACTAACACTTGCACGCCACTCATCAACATGTCGTGGTTCCCATCCTAGATCCAGAACAGTAGCACACAGGGCTGCAATGGGACCCCGAACGAGACGCCAACGACTCGACTCCTGTGACTTAGCGATCGTGTCGTGCAGGGCCTCCCAGACTCTCCGAACTCCAGACCGAAGACCTTCAGGCAGAGAAACCCAAACTTCCGAAATCAGGGTAAGTTGTTCAACGCGGAGCCGATAAACAGGGTCATCTTTAGTATCATGCAACACCCGCAGCACAGTGCTAACACAAGCCCCAGACGACCAAAATCCAGAGCACGCAGCAGCCGAGGATCTGAACTGTCCAATAGCACCCGCAGGAAGCCCAAGGAGAGCATGGCCCCAGGTACACACTGCCAAAATGCCTGGCTTGAAAACCTTACGAGAAGCACCACAAAGCTTGGCAAGGTAACTCAACTTCCTGGCACGACGAAAGGCGAGCGAGCGTCCCTGCTGGACCTTCCAGGTGGGTCGCCTTTTACTGGCAGTAGTGACAGATCCAAGATCCTTCACTCCATCTGCGAAAGAAATGGAGACTTCATATCTCCTGAACTCGTCCTGCAGGAGCCGCTGCAGCTCCACGGACGAGGCGACTGCAAGCGACTTAGAGCTGACAACACACCCCAGCTCAGAGATCTCGTGCTGAAAATCGGCAGCGGCCTGGGGCAGGTAGCGGCAGATGAAAGCGACAGAGCCTTGCAGGTACTGTGTGATGTCGTCCACATACGACCTAATTGGGACACGAACATGTGGGTGGTCTCCAGGCCCTCTAGGGATCCTATTATGAGCCTTCTCCAGGACCCCGTACAGGTAGCACTTGACCCAGGGCATACTCTGACAACAACCCGCCAAGATGGACTCACCAGAGGCCAACACCTTCGAAAGGCCCCCAGACACGTCCAACAGCCTCGGAGACGTGTGGATGAGGAGCCCCATGTACAACAGGTGGGCGGGGTAATCTTGATTCACCGCCAAGTGCAAGATGAGACAGACATAGCACTGAGGGGGAAAGCACAAATTCTCCTCCACCGAACGCAAGATGCCAGTGAACACTTCGAGAGAATCCACTGGAGCGTCCAAAAGAGCACGAGGCGACCACATATCAACACCGAGAGCGGTCTTCGCCCTGAAGCAAGTACACGCACGAGCAACATCAGAAACTTCGAGCAGGGGGGTATCTTCCAGAGCGACTAAGGCTTGTGACCTAAGTTCGCTCATGCCCGCATTCAAACAAGACAGCTGCTGTGCGGAAGGAGTCCACCAAGACGACCACTTATCTTCACGATATTTCATCATATCCTTTGGGGTGTTCACGATGCCTCCAGGAGTCTCCAAATATTCAACCCAAACCTTTTCTTCAGCTTTCAGGTAACGATGAACAGGACTAGCTCCCCGAGGCAACGACGACGTCAACCAGGTTTTCATGCTACTCCTAGTCTTGGCATGAGCTAGGGTCCATGATTAATCACAAACATCACCTGCAGCGTCGACGAGGTTTCGCAACGTACCTTCCGATCGTGGGGGGTTCTCAAGCATCTCCTTCCAACTCTCAGCGTCTTCTGGGCTGACGAGGGGCTCGATGTGAGCAAAGACGTCGGCCGCCAAGGCAAAGAGAGAACAGTGCGATGCTGGCGAGCAGCATCAGAGAAAGGTGACTTGCATGTGAGCCGCCATAACTCATACAGTCGGCTCGAAACGAGAGACCAAAAGGACAAGTCAGGATTCCGAAAACTCTGCGCCTGCACACTGCGAGTCATCAGAGAACAGTCCTTTCGCTTCAGCATGGAACCACGACCAAGATATCTGTGTGGATCAGAAACAAGAGCGCACGCGCGTGAAAGAGCTCGCAACTCCATAGCACGAGACCAAATAAGATACTGCATCCCAAGACTCCTAGACAAGAAATCCTTCGAGTGCAGGAGGAGGAGGAGGAGGGAGCAGGAGGAGGAGGAGGAGGAGGAGGAGGAGGAGGGGGACAAGGAGGAGGAAAAGGAGGGGAAAAGAGGATGAGGGAGGAGGGACGGGAAAGGGAGGCGGAGGAGAGGCGAGATCGGCCCGCGAGACGTAGCGCGAAAGGACAGAATGCCCCCCCCGCTAGAATGCCGCATGAGTGGAGTTGGAGGAGGAGGAGGAAGAAGAAAAAGAAGAGGAGGAGGAGGAGGAGGAAGAAGAAAAATAATATGATAATATGGAGTGAAGGACAGGGAGAAGCAGGAGGAGCAAAAGGAGGAGAAAGGGGGATGGAGCGGGGGGGGGAGAAGAAGGAGGAAGGGGGCGGAAGATGGGGAAGATGGGAGGATGGGCAGGATGGGGATGGGGATAATGGAGAGGGAAACTGGCCAGCAAGGGAAGGGCGGACTAGAGACGCACGACGAGGACACAGTTCGCTGTCCGTCGCGAAGAATATTTCGAGCGTGCGCTTCGTGAAGAGAGGGGGATGGGGAGGGGGAGGAGGCCGACAAAAACGGGAAGAGGAGCACGGAGCAGGTGCAGGAAGAAGCAGAGGGGGGGAAGGGCAGCAGGCGGAGGCGGCAGACGAGAGAAATGACGACGACGACGATTACCACGACGACCACGACCACGACCACGACCACGACCACGACCACGACCACGACGACTACGACTACGAGAAAGATGATGAGGAGAAACGTCCGCCTCCTGGGATCATGTTTTCCGGAACAGTTCCCAACGCCCGTTCTGTCAGGCGCTCAGGCCCTGCTACCCGAAGCATTTGCTCACTGGCGCGGCATCGCCCGCGCTCTCGCTCTTGGCCGCGCAGCTGGCCAGCGGCACGCGGCAGCGGAGGCACGCGCACATGTACAGCGACAGCCAGGCGCTCAGGGCGCGGAGGATCGGGAGGAGGGAGGAGCCTTGATGGAGACCGATCGAGTGGAGATTCGCGACAAGCACAGGAGGGAGACGGAGGAGGAGGAGGAGGAGGTCAATCAAAAGAAGACGAAGAAGAAAAAGAAGAAGAAGGATGAGGAGTTCACAAGGGGTAGATTGAACAAGAGGGGGAGAAGGAGGAGGAGGAGGAGGAGGAGGAGGAGGAGGAGGAGGAGAGGAAGAGGAAGAGGAAGAGGAGGAGGAGGAGGAGGAGGAGGGAGGGAGGAGGGGGAGGGGGGGGAGGAGTTCAAATCAGAGGAGGAGGAGGAGGAGGAGGAGGAGTTCAAGAGGAGTAGATCAAACAAGAGGGGGAGGAGGAAGAGGAGGAGGAGGGGGAAGAGGAGGAGGAGGTCAAATCATAGGAGGAGGATGAGGCCGAGGAGGAGGAGGAGGAGAAGGTGGAAAAGGAAGAGGAGGGAGAGGACGACGGCGACGACGACGGTGACGGCGGCGACGGCAGCGTCCCCCTGCTGGACGGCCTGCACTCGGCACGCGTCCACGGGACAGAGGAACAGTGACACCAGCAGCGCCTCGGGCTCCCCGAGGGCCGCGATCGGCGGCGGCCTGGCCGCGCGCGCGCCCGTGGCCTCCTCAGCAGGCTGCCGCAGCTGCCGCCGCCGACTCGGCCCCGCGTGCAGGCCGCCTGCTGCTGTCGCCGCGATGCTCGAGGTCTCGAGGCTCGGGGCCCTCGAGGCTCGAAGCCAGGCGCGGCGATTAGGAATCGAACTCGACCAGGGCCAACTAACATCGCGCATCGCCCCCCGCGATGCCTCCCTATCCTCCTCCTCATCCTCCCTCCTCCTCCTCCTCCTCCTCCTCCTCCCCCTCCCTCCTCCCTCTCTCTCCTCCTCTCCTCCTCCTCCCTCTTCCTCCTTCCTTATTCCTCTTCCTCCTCCTCCTCCTCCCTATTCCTCCTCCTTATTCCTCCTCCTCCTCCTCCTCCTCCTCCTCCTCCTCCTCCTCCGTGTCGACGTCGACGTCTGCGACGCCCGGGAGCACCCACCACGCCGCCCGACGCCCGCGGGCCGGGCTCCGCCCAGGAGCCGCGTGCCCGCTCGCGGCTGCTGCTGCTCCTCCCCGGCCGCCCCGCGCGCCGGCGCGAGGAGCAAACGGAGTGAGGAGCGAAGGGGCCTCGCTCACGATACGCTGCGAAAATAGAGTATGGACTTGACTGGAGAGGACACGCGAGAGGACACGAGGCCCTTCCGAGGGCCACGCTGCCACGGAAATGCAGGAGACATGGGTCGCAAGACATAGGACACGAGGGTACCCTTGATCTGGCAGGGTCGACCTACTCATCCGGGCGGCCTGTATACGCACAGACGCCCGCAACGACGAACGCTGCCGGCGTTGAACCGCTGGCCCCTGGCGGTGAAGTATGCACACCGCCACACTCCCCTCTGAGGCCCAGGAACAATCCCTTGGGGGGGCGTCTGTGCATATAGTCTTGTGGCGGATTCGAGGCGGGGTCATATCCACATCCACCTCCTGGGATACCCAGGTACTGGGCACCCAGCGGGCGGTGGATATAGACATACGTGTAGCACCCGGCAATTGCGGATAAGAGCGAGGGGGGCAGGCGCGGGATGGGTCGCGGGTGGATCGTGGGTCACGGGTGGGTCGCGGGTGGGTTGCGGGTGGGTCGCGGGTGGGTCGCGGGGTGGGTCGCGGGTGGCTCGCGGGTGGGTCGTTGGGAGGTCGCGGGTGGGTTGCGGGTGAGTCGCGGGTGGGTCGCGGGTGGGCCGCGGGTGGGACGACGACAACAACAACTGCCAATGTTTAAGACTGTTCGCTCTTAGCTGCTCGCGTGCCATCCAACACGTATATCCCAAAGCCTCATTACCCGCCCTCTTCGTATTCGATGGTAATTACCCCATCAGAGGTGTGTGTGTGTGTATATATATACATAATAGATATGTCTTATCTGCAACGTGTATTCGTGCAGCCCCTAAGGCAGGGGAAGAGAGGACGGATGGCAGGAAAGGACAAGGAGAAGAGAGAGGAGGACGGACCACGAGAGAGCGTTCCAGGAGGGGGGCTAGGATCAGAAAACACGTGGTAGGACCAAACGGGCTGATCGGGCGGGTAGACCCTAACGGGCGGGTCGGGAAGGCGGACCCAGACGGCCAGGTCGAGCAGGCGGGTTGCTGAAGCGTGAGTCCTGCATGAATCGCGGGGAGGTCTCAAGCGTTAGCGCGATTCCCAAGTACATCGTGAGGAAAACCACAACGAGAGCGTGATTCCTGAGTGTCGAGGGCGCGGCGTCTAAATCAATTGCGAGGAGGTCCCACACGAAAGCGCGATTCCCGTATAAGTTGTGAAGAAGTCCAGCGCGAGAGCGCGATTGGGAATACATTGTAAGGTCGTATCAGGCGGTAGTCGTTGATGTTGCAGACTAGGGGGGGCAACGGCCCAGTTTGGTGATGCTTCGCTTTCCCTTTCGAAAAAAACAGGTGCGAGCCCCGGAAGAAGCACAATAATTGAAAACATAAAATGGTTACTGGGCAGGGGGATCAACAGCCAATGATAGTTAGAAGTGCTAACCCAACACCAACAGCAACAACAGCAGCAACAGCAGCAACAACAACAGCAACAACACCAATAACAACAACAGCACCAACAAGAACAGCAACAACAACAACAACAACAACAACAACAACAACAACAGCAATCAGTTTACCCTCATGCGCGATAGTTCCACACGAAGCATGCGGCCATCATGATAACCACCCCCGTATTGGGGGATTATTGTTCTATAGCGGGGTCCGTTATTCCCATTCCCAGATCTTGGAAACACCTCCTCCGAGGAGTTTCAACATATCCCGCCTCGAAAACGCATGCCCGCGCTTTGCTGCGCCGATGCGAGACCGCCAGTCGAGCCCCAGCCAAGGGTAAAGCACAAGGAAGTATCGAGCGACAGGATGGCCTTGGTGACGATGGGGGCTGTCGGCGGGAAGGCAAGGACCTGGCCCTGAATAGAAATGGAGGAAGTCTCGAGCAGGGCCGCTGTTGTTGCTGGGAGCGGCGCCAATGCTGAAGAGAGTAGGGCGCTAGTCCAGCGTAAAACAAAACGAATTCTCGAGCGGGAGCGCTGGTTTTGTTGGGACGGCGGTTGTCGGCGGCGAGGAGGAACACCGCCTTGAGTAAGAAGGGGGGAAGTCTTGAGCGGGAGCCGTGGTTTTGTCGGGACGGGGGGTGTCGGCGGCGAGGAACAGCACCGTCCAGAGGAAAAAGAGATGAAGCCTCGAGCGGGAGAGTTGCTCTTGCTGGGAGCGGCGCCAATTTAAAAGAGTATCCAGCGAAAAACGAGAGGAAGTCTTGGCGGGGAACGTTGGTTTTGTCGGGATGGCGGTTTTCGGCGGCGAGGAGGCGCACCGCCTTGAGTAAAAAAGGAAATCTCGAGCGGGAGCGTTGTTGTTGCTGGTGGCGGCGCCGATGAGAGAAAGAGCGCGCCAGTCCAAGGTAAAACGGGAGGAAGTCTCGAGCGGTAACGCTGATTTTGGTAGGACGGCGGCTTTCGGCGGCGAGCACGAGCACCGGCTCTGAGTACAAATGGAGGAAGTCTCGAGCGGGAGCGTTGCTGTTGTTGGGGGGCGGCCGTTTCTGGCGCCCCCCAAACCGCTCGAGCGTGAGCCTCATTTTTAATGAAATTGTAGCCGGCGCCGAGGCGAGAGCGTCAAAGCGCCAGGGGGGGTCCAACAATGGTACTCCAGATTTCGTAATAAAAGGGAGGGGGTCTGGACCCTCCAAGACAAACCATTTCAGACCCCCCCTCGTGGGAGAACCCTCCAAAACATCGTCCCCAGACCCCCCAGGCCCTCCAAGATAGCCTGGAAGAGACCCCCCCCGAAATGAGACCCCCCTCCCTTTATTACGAAATCTGGAGTAACTGTTCAGCAATGAATATCCAGCAACAACGACAACAACAGCAACAACACCAGCAACACCAACAACAGCACGAACAAAACCAACACCAACAACACCAACACCAACAACACCAACAACACCAACATTAACAACAACCAAAACAGTACCAACACCAATAACACAAACAACAACGACACCAGCAGCAACAACGGCAACACGAACGGCAACAACAACACCAACAACAACAACAACAGCAACAGCAGCAGCAACAACAACCGCAACAACACTGAGTTAAAAAACAGTTCGTTCCTAACTGCTCGCGTGCCATCCAACACGTATGTGTATCCCAAGCCCTCCATACCCGCCCTAGTCTTCGGCCCTACCCCCTTGGGGGCAGATCTTCCCTGTCTGCCCCGCGCATGTAGCGCAGTCCTAAAACAGGGGAGGAGAGGACGGATGGAAGGAGGAGGAAGAAGGATGGAACACGAGAGAAATTAGCAGGAGCGGAGCTAGGAGGAGAAAACACGTTGCAGAACCAAACGGGCTGATTGGGCGGGCAAACCCTAATGGGCGGGTCAGGAAGGCGGGCCCAGGCGGCCAGGTCGAGCAGGCGGGTTGCTGAAGCGTGAATCCTGCATGAGTCTCGAGGAAGTCCCGAACGATAGCGCGATGTTCAAATCAATCGTGAAAACAATGCGAGAGCGTGATTCCTGACAGCCGAGGGCGCAGCGTCGGCATACATTGCAAGGATGTCCCCCGCGAGACCGCGATTCCTGCATAAAGTGTGAGGAAGTCCAGCGCGAGAGCGCGAAAGCCTGAGCCGTTGTTGTAACTCGGGGGCTATGAGCCCAGTTTGGTGACCCCCAACTTCCCCTTGCAAAAAAAGAGGGTGCGAGCCCCTGGAGAAACACTTTATTCCAAAAACACAGATGTGCCCCAGAGGGGGGATCAACAATAACGATTCTTCAATAGTGTAACTTCAACATCAACAACAACAACACCACCAACAACAACAACAACAATAATAAGTTTAAGACTGTTCGCCCTCGCGTATTTCCCAAACCCTCGATACCCACCCTCTTCGTCTTCGATCGAAACCCTTTCGGGGGGTACACCTTTCTTCCCTGCAGGCCGGGCCCCGGCAAGCGGCGGGGCGGCCGCGGACAGTCGGCCTGGCCAGCGGCAGCGCTGATCGGCGGGGCGGCCGCGGACCGTCGACCCGACCCAAAGAGGGACGGACAGGGGACCGACCACGACGACGACGACGACGACGACGACGACGACGACGTCGAAGACGACGGCGACGACGACGACGACGGCGACGACGAGCGAAAGCGAGAGCGAGAGAGAACGACAGCAGGGCCACGAAGGGCACGAAGTAGGCCACGAAGGGCGACAGCGGGGACACGAAGGGAATGCGAATGGGGCCACGAAGAGCGCGAACGAGCGGGGCCACGAAGTGCAGATACTGCGGGGCCACAGAAGGCAACTATGGGGCCACTGAGGGTAGCAACTGGGCCACGTAGGACAGTGCGGGAGACACAAATGGCGACAGCGGGGCCACGAAGGGCATAGACATGGGGCCACAACGGGCGCGACTCCTGGGTGCCTGGGTGTCGGGAGCGCGGCGCTTGGGCAAATTGCAAAAAAAATCAAACGCAAGGCCATTCTTCAGTAAATTGCAAGCAAGTCTCCAGCGAGAGCGCGACTCCAGAGCGCCGGGAGAGCGATCCCTGAATAAATTGTAAGGAAGTCCCAAGCGAGAGCGCGATTCCTGAATAAAATGCGAGGAAGTCTTGAGCGGGAGCGGGGGTCCTGGCTAAATTGCAAGGAAGTCTCAAGCGGGAGCCGTTGTTGTTGTAACCCGGGGGCCAGGGGCCCAGTTTGAGCAGGAAGACTTTCACTATCAAAAAACAGGGAGCGAGCGTCGAGGGGCACATTTTGATTGAGAAAAAACAATATGCACCGGTGGGGGGGGATCAACAATAATATCTTCAGAAATGAGAACTCAACAGCAGCAGCAACGGCATCAGCAGCACCAACACCAACACCAACACCATCAACAACACCATCGCCAACAACATCAAAAGCAACAACAACAGCAACAACAACAGCAACCATTCCAAGACAGTTCGCTCTTATCTGCGTGCGCGCCAGTCAGTACGTAGATCCCAAACCCTCGGTACCCGCACTCTTCTTCTTCTTCTTCGGTCGTACCCCCTTGGGGGTATATCTTCCTTATCTGCCACATGTGTAATTGGTGCATCCCTAGCAAAAAAAAGAGCGGACGGAGAGAACGGAGAAGGAGAAGGATAGATCACGGGAGGGATTAGCAGGAGGGAGGCTCGGAGCAGAAAACACGTGGTACAAAAAGACAAACTGATCGGGCGAGTAGACCCTGCCAGGTCGAGCAGACCAGTTGCTGAAGCGTGAGTCCTGCATGAGTCGCGAGGAAGACTCGAGCGATAGCGTGATTCTCAAGTTAATCGTTCGCAAAAACAATCGAGAGCGCGATTCCTGAGCGTCGAGAACGCGGTGCCTGAATAAGTTGCAAGGGATTCCAGCGCGAGAGCGCGACTCCTGCATAAATTGTGCGAACGTCCGGCGCGAGAGCGCGATTTTGAAATAATCTGCGAAGGAGAATCGGCGGGAGCCGTTGCTGCTGTAAACCAAGGGCAAACAAAACAGTTGGGTAACCGAAGGGGGATCAACAGTAATCATTCTTTGTGAGTGAGCATGTATAACAAACAAGCACACCAGCAAACAAACTAACAAACATGCAAACACAACAGCAACAACAACAGCAATCATGTTAACACAGTTCGCTCGTATCTGCTCTCGTGCCACTTCAGACGTGGATCCCAAACCCTCGGTACCCGCCCTCTTCGTCTTCGATCGTGCCCCAACAGAGGTAGATCTTTCTTACCGACGTGTATTTCGTGCAGCCCCCAGGCAGAAGAATAGAAGACGGATGGAAGGAAGGGACAAGGGGTGAAGGAGGAGGATGGAACACGCGAAAGAGTAGCAGGAGGGGGGCTAGGAGCAGAAAACACCTGGCAGAGCCAGACGGGCAAACCGGGCGGGTAGACCCTAACAGGCGGGTGGGAAGGCGGGCCCAAGCGGCCCTGTCGAGCAGGCGGGTTGCTGAAGCGTGCGTCCTGCATGGATCGCGAGGAGGTATCGAGCGATAGCGCGATTGACAAAAGAATCACGAGATATACCAGAGCGAGAGCGCGATTCCTGAGAGTCGAAGGCGCGGCGTCTGAATACAGTGCGGGGAAGTCTCACGCGAGAGCGCGATTCCTGCATCATTTGTGAGGACGTCCCGCGCGAGAGCACGATTTGGGAACACATTCTAACCAAGTATCAGGAGGGAGCCGCTGTTGCTGTTAGCCGGGGGACCAGGTGCAAAGTTTGGTGGCTCCACACTGTCCCTTGTAAAAAAAGGGAGTGCGAACCCTGGAAGGAGCACTTTAATTGAACAATACAATAGTAACCAAAAGGAAGACTCAACGAGACTTATTATTTAGACATGCGAGTTCAACAACACCTGCAACAATCTTGTCAAGACTGTTCTGCTCGTGCGTCATTCATCCCGAAAACTCCAAGGCCTCGATGCGCGTCCCCTTCGTCTTCGATCATACCCCACTTCGGGGTATATCCTCCTTGCCTGCCACGTGTAGTTGGCGCAGCCGCTAAAACAGGGAAAGAACAGGAGGAGGTAAGAGACAAGGGGGAGGGAAAAAGATGGAACACGAGGGAAATTTGCAGGAGGGGGGTTAGGAGCAGGAGTGCAAGCGACAGAGCCAGACGGGCGGGTCAGGCGGGCGGACTCTAGAGGACAGGTCGAGCGGGCGGACCCAAAAGGACGGGGCGAGCGGGCGGGTCGCTGAAGCATCCAACATGAATCGCGAGGAAGTTTCAAGCAACGGAGCGAGTCCCAAGCAAATCGTTCGGAAATCAAAAGCGAGAGAGTGTTTTCTGAGTCTTGGAGGCACGGCGCCGCAATAAATGGAGAGGACGTGCCAGGGGTGATCGCGATTCCTGCATACATCGTGAGCATGTCCCGCACGAGAGCGCGATATTGGACTACATTGTGGGGAAGGATCAGCCGGGAGCCGTTGTTGTTGTAGTTCGGGGGGAAACAACCCAATCTGAGCTGCAAGACTTCACTACTAAACACAAGGTGCGAGCCCCAGGCGGAGCACTTGAATTGAAAAACAAGGTACACCAGGGGGATCAACAATGATTATGAATTAGAAATGAGAGCTCAACAACAGCAACAGCAACAACATTAGCACCAACAGCAACAACAGCAACAGCAACAGCAACAGCATCTTATCTGCTCGCTTGCCAGTCAAGAGGTATATCCCAAAGCCTCGATACCCGCCCTCTTCGTCTTCGATCATACCCCACGGGGGTATATCTTTCAAAACCCACAACGTGTATTTCATGCAGCGCCTACGGCAGGGGAAGAGAGGACGGATGGAAGGAAGGGACAAGGGGGAGGGAGGAGGATGGAGCACGAGAGAGAAGAGTAGCAGGAGAGGGCTAGGAGCAGAAAACACGTGGCAAATCGGGCGGGTAGACCCTAATAGGCGGGTCGGGAAGGCGGGCCCAAGTGGCCCGGTCGAGCAAGCGGGTTGCTGAAGCGTGCGTCCTGCATGTATCGCGAGGAGGTATCGAGCGATAGCGCGATTCCAAAGTGGATCGCTAGAAAAACCAGAGAGAGAGCGCGAGTCCTGAGTGTCGAAGGCGCGGCGTCTGAATACAGCGCGGGGAAGTCTCACGCGAGAGCGCGAATCATGTATGAGTTGTGAGGAAGTCCAGCGCGAGAGCGCGATTTGGGAACACCTTGTGAGGAAATATCAAGCGGGAGCCGCTGTTGCTGTAAGACGGGGGCCAGGGGCGCAGTTTGGTGGCACCTCGCTTTCCCTGGAAAAAAAGGCGCGAGCCCTGGGACAAGTCATTAAACCGAAAAATGCGATGGTTACCCGCAACAGCTATTTTTCTGCAACATGAAAACTCAACAAGAACAAGAACAAGAACAAGAAGAACAACAACAACAACAACAACAACAACAACAACAGCAACAACAACAACAATAACAACAACAAGATCAATAACAATACCAACAATAACAATATCGCAAACAAGACAAAGACCAACGGCGACAGCAAAACCAACAACAATAACGAAAGCAGCACCATCAACACCAGTAGCAACAACAGCAACAGCAACAAGAGCACCACCACCAATATCAACGACAACAACACCACCAACAACAACACCAACAACAGCATCATCAACCATAACATCACCAACCTTCACAACAATAACAACAATTACTACTACACCAACAGCCACAACACCAATCAATTACAACAACAGCAACAACAACCACAACAACACAACAACAATAGCAACAACAACAACAACAACAACCAGGTTAAGACTGTTCGTTCTTACGCGCTCGCGCGCCACACTCTCTACGACTATCCCCAAACCTCGATACCCGCCCTCTTCGTCTTCGATCGTACCCCCCTAGGGGTACAATATCTCCCTGAACCTGCCGCGTGTAATTGGTGCAGCCCCTAGAAAAGGTGAAGGGAGAAGGAGAAGGATGGAGCACGGGATTAGCAGAAGGGGGGCTGGGAGCAGAAAACACGCGGCAGAACCAAACGGGCTGATCGGGCGGTAAGATCCTAACGGGCGGGTCGGGAAGGCGGGCCCAAGCGGCCCGGTCGAGCAGGCGGGTTGCTGAAGCGTGCGTCCTGCATGAATCGCAAGGAAGTCTCGAGCGATAGCGCGATTCCCAGGTAACTCAAACAAAAAGAAATCGTGAGTAAAACGCGAGACAAACCAGTAATTCCGCGCTAGATTAGATGCGATGCGAGCCAAACCAGCTGCGCTGGAGGTTGGGCCCTTCCTCTCTCCCACCCTTCTGTACCCCCACCCCTCCCCCATCCCGTCCCCCGTCCCCCGTCCCTCCTCCTCCTCCACCTCCTCCTCCTCCTCCTCCTCCTCCTCCTCCTCCTCCCCCTCCTCCTCCTCCCGCTCCCCTCGTCATGCCCCCTCCTTCCCCTCCCCCTCCTCCTCCCCCTCCCCTCGTCATGCCCCCTCCTTCCCCTCCCCCTCCTCCCTGCCTCCTCCTTCCCCCCCCCCTCCTCCTGCCCCCTCCTCCTCCCCCCCCCCAGGCCCGCCCCGCCCGCGCGCCCTCCCGCGGCCCACTCGCCCTCCGCCCCTCCGCCCGGCGAGCCTCGGCTCCACCATTGCCCCCCCCCTCTCGGGACCACGGCACGGGGACGCCGGCACGGGCGCGCGCGGCCGCGCGCGCGCGTTGGGCCTGCGGATGGGCTGCGGCGGGCGCGGCCAGGAAGCGAGCGGCAGGAGCAGAAGGAGGAGGAGGATGAGGAGGAGGAGGAGGAGGAGAAAGGGGGAGGAGGAGGAGGAGGAGGAGGAGGAGGAGGAGGAGGAGGAAGGAGGAGGAGGAGGAGGAGAGGGAAGGAGGGAGAAGAGATGAGAAAGGAGGAGCTCCTCCTCCTCCTCTTCCCTCTTCCGTCCGTCCTTCTCCCCGTCCTCATCCTCCTGCCTCCTTCCCTCCGTGTGATCATCGTATGTCCATCGTCATCCTCATTATTACCATATAAATTTCCATCAGCATCATCATCATCATCATCAGCAGCAGCAGCATCATCAGCAGCAGCATCATCAGCATCATCATCTCATCACCAGCATCAGCATCAGCATCAGCATCGTCATAATCATCGTCATCATCGTCGTCATTATCATCACCACCATTATCAGCAACACCGTCATCATCATTAGCAGCATCAGCAGCATCGCCATCACCATCATCCTCGTCATCGTCGTCAGCACCACCACCAGCATCATCATCGACATCATCATCGTCGTCATCATCACCGTCGTAATCGATATTACCAATATCATCACCAGCATCATCACATCATCAGCGCGACTGTCGTCATCATCATCATCATCATCATTATCATCATCATCATCGTCATCATCAGCAGCATCATCATCAGCATCAACAGCATCGCCATCATCGTCAGCAGCAGCATTCGCATCGTCATCCTTAGCGGCGTCGTCATCATCATCATCATCATCATCATCATCATCATCAGCAGCATCGTCATAATCATCAGCGTCAGCATCATCATCGTCATCATCATCACCTTTGTCGTCATCAGAATCAGCAGCAGAATCGCATTATCATCGTCATCGTCAGCAGCATCATTACCGCCGTCGTCACACTCACAATCATCATCATCAGCAGCAGCAGCATCACCACCATCATAATCAGCAGCATCATCATCGTCAAAATCATGTCATCCGCATCAGCAGAAACCATCATAATCATACTCATAATCATGGTAAGCATCAGCATCAACATAATCCGCCGACCCCTTGTGGGTCCCTAGGCGTGTGAGATAGTTCCCCCCCCTACAGTCCCCCCCCAGGGACCCCAAACTGGCGATTTGACCCCCCCCCCATGGCCCCGCCCGAGCGACTCACGGAGCTTCTTTGGGCTCAAAAGTCTCTCAAGGCGGCCCAAGAAGGCCCCAAGACTCCTCCAAGACGGCCCACGAGGGCCCCGAGACGCCAAACGAACGCTCCAAGGCGCCCAAGATGGCCCCAAGACGGGCCAAGAGGCCTCCAAGACGGCCCATGAGGCCTCCAAGAGCAGTTCTCAGAAGGGCCGAAGAGCCGAAAATCTTCAAATTCCTATGGAAAACGTACATTTTGATCATATACGGCTTCTCGGCCTTCACGGCGTTGAACACGGTCCAAGAGCACCCCAAGACCGCCCCAAGACGGCCCAAGAGGCCCCCAACACGCGCCCAAGTCCGCCCAAGAGGGCGCCAAGACAGCCCAAGAGGCCCCCAGGACGGCCCAAGAGAGCCCCAAGACGGCCCCAAGAGGGGCCCAAGAGAGGGAGCCCGAACTGACATCCCGAGCCTTCCGCCCCGAGACGGCCCTAAAAGGCCCCGAGAGGCCCCAAGAGGCCCCCAAGACGCCCCCAAGAGGCCCCAAGAGGCCCCCCAAGAGGCCCCAGAACGGCCCCAAAACGGCCCCCAAGAGGCTTCGAAACTGCCTCCAAGAGTCCCGCGAGAAGCACCACCAGAGATCCCAGCGATCATCGCACAAGCGGGATTCGCGCTCCCGAGGCGAAGAATTCCAAAACCATGACCCAGAACATTTCCTCCGCGTCCCCCTCCTCCTCCCCCTCACCCGCCTTGTCCACGTCGGCCCCCCAGTGGCGTCAAAACTGCTTTCCAGAGGCCCCCGAAAGGAGTGCCGCGAAATTCCGATACACATACAAGAACCTCTCACCCAAAGACCATAACCCAGAGCCTCCTCTCAGTGTCCCCCTCATCCTCCTCCTCAACCACCCTCTCCTCGTCCCCCTCCTCCTCGTCCCCCTCCTCTTGTTCATGGCCCGTCACCTCGACACGTTCGATGATTCTCCCCTGTGTCCTCCGCCTCACCCCCCATTCTCCTGTCCTCGTTCTCCTTTTTCCTCAGCGCGCGCGCCCGATTCGGCATCATTTGCAGGTCTTGCACTTCAGAGTGCCTTTTTTTGCGTCGCGCGGGACATTGTGAGGGTCGGGGAACGCCGACTTCGGTAGTCTTCTCTTGCACGCGCCGCTGCACTGATACGCCTGGCAACTGCGGGCTGTGAACCCGAGTGCCGCGCAGCTTCCGCACACCACCTTTTTTTGATTCGACCATCGATGATGTTCTTTTTGGCTCTGCCTCAAATGTTTCGTGTCTGAGAACGCTCCTCCGCACGCCGCGCACGTCAGCGGCTTCGCTTCCGCTTCGCTTCCTATTATTGGACTCAAGCGTCGTCCTCTGACGTTCTTCCGCGCATTTCCGACAAGACGGCACCAAGAGGGGCCCAAGAGGGCAACCAAAAAATCAAAAATCTAGCTTCCCGCCCCCACGAGCCCCAGGAGTGCCCCAAGAGGCCGCCAGAGGCCCCCAAGAGGCCGCCAAGACGCCCCAAGGAGCCCCCAAGAGGCCCCCAGGAGGCCTCCAAAAGACCACCAGACGCTTCCGCATTGCGAGCCGTCAAGCCAACTGCAATGCACTCCGCGCATGCAGCCTTGCTCTTCCTCGCGACGTGCTCACAATCTTGCTCGGCGCTGTGCTACGCGACGTGCTGCTGCTACGCGAACTGTTTCGTGCGCGCTGCGAACGTCAACAGCCTCTTCACCCGTTTCGACTCATCTGCCACATCTTTCGCGGTGATGCTTCGCTGATCACAGCTTCCGCACGCTACTCTTGCTCCTTTCGTCTTCCGGTGCTCCTCCACTTGGTTGAGGGGCGAGAGGCCGACCTCCCAGAAGGACACCCCGCACCCGGGTGCACAGCACGCAAAGCGCTCGCAAAACACGCCCCAGACCACCGGCATCACGCAAACATGTGGACCCCCTACGTATCTGCCACCACCCGCGCGCGACACCGCACCCTCACACAAGACGCCGCTGGCCAGAAACTCCTGGCCTCGCAACAGTCACAGAAGGGGTCGGCGGATGTGGCGTAAGCCTGTAGAATCATATTCAACATCAACACAATCATCGTCATCTTCATCACCATCACCATCAGCAGCATCCTCAACATCATCAGCATCGGCAACATCATCAACACCATGTCCCCCATCATCATCATCATCATCAGCATCATCATCATCATCATCATCATCATCATCATCATCATCATCATCGTCATCATCATCATCATCATCAGAATACTCATCCGCCGACGCCGACGCCTCCACCGCAGTTACCATCATCATTACCAGCATCGGCATCGTCACCCTCGTCCCCTTCATCATCATCATCATCATCATCATCATCATCACCATCATCATCATCATCAACAGCAGCACCAGCATCATCATCAGCCTCAGCATCATCGTCATCACCATCGTCGTCATCATCGTCGTCATCATCGTCGTCACCATCATCGTCATCCATGCCATCGACATCCTTCCTCTTATCTGACACCTCGTTCTCCACCTCCCCCTCCTCCTCCTCCTCCTCCTCCTCCTCCTCCTCCTCCTCCTCCTCGTCCTCCTCCTGCTTGACCTCCTCCTCCTTGCCCTCCTCCCCCACTATACTCCGGCTCCCCTCAACGCGGGCGGAGGTGGAAGACTGCCGCACTGCGCGGAGCGCACGCCTGAGCGCCGCTGCCGCTGGCTGGAATGGCCGCCTCTGCCCCCGGCTCGGGCGGGCCTCCGTCTGTCTGCCGGGGCGCCGGCGGAGCGTGCACCCCTGGGCGCCCTGGGGAGGAGGAGGAGGAGGAGGAGGAGGAGGAGGAGGAGGAGGAGGAGGAGGAGGAGGGGAGGAGGAGGAGGAGGAGGAGGAGGAGGGAGGAGGAGGAGGAGGAGGAGGAGGAGGAGGAGGAGGAGGAGGAGGAGGAGGGAGGAGGAGGAGGAGGAGGAGGAGGAGGAGGAGGAGGAGGAAAGAGGAGGAGAGGAGGGAGGAGGAGGAGGAGGAGGAGTTGGAGGAGGAGGAGGAGGAGGAGGAGGAGGGAGGAGGAGAGGAGGAGGAGGAGGAGGAGGAGGAGGAGGAGGAGGAGGAGGGAGGAGGAGAGGAGGAGGAGGAGGAGGAGGAGGAGGAGGAGGAGGAGGAGGAGGAGGGAGGAGGAGGAGGGAGGAGGAGGAGGAGGAGGGAAACGGAGGAGGAGGAGGAGGAGGAGGAGGAGGAGGAGGGAGGAGGTGGAGGAGGAGGAGGAGGAGGAGGAGGAGGAGGAGGAGGGAGGAGGAGGAGGAGGCAAGAGGTCGCGGGCCGTCGTGGGGAGCAGGAGGGCCGGCTTGCCAGTGGAGGATCCCCCTGCTGGGGCTCAAACGGATGCTGGCACCAGCAGGCGCAGCACTCCCATCGACTGGCGCCACGGGAGCGGCTCGAAGACGCCTGGGACGAGTCAACGCCGCCGCCTGCACAGTGGAGACGCCCGCGCATGCTGGAGACGCCGTAGCCGCAAAACACATCATGGCTCGAAGGGAAACTTGGGGGCTCTGGGGGGGGCCTCTTGGGGACCCTGCGGTGACCTGTCGAGAGCCTCTTGCTCGGGCCGTCTCGAGGGCGTCGGAGGCCGTTCTGAGAGTCCCCCAGCGAGCACAACCCACAAACGGTGCAAAAGGCCGCTGGCGGGCTCGCGGAGAGACGGGACGCAGCGCCTCGCTGCTGGGATGCTTAGCAGGCCAGACGTACAGGCCACAGTGCGCGGAGAGCGGTCGC